AAAGGATCTGAAACTCTAAAGTGTAAATCAGAGATACTACTCTTAACATTCCCAGGCAGAAATCCTAAAAGGTGATCCATACAGAGATCATGTATGGACTGCCACATCTATGGCTTACTAAATCAGAAGAGCTGTTCTGTTTTCTTCCCACATTTAGTCCTTCAATACCTTGGCAAAACATCTAAAATAAAAAATGGAGTCTGAAATGAAGTTTAAATTGTTTCATTTTTGAACTACTGTGAGGCATTCATCCTGGCCTATGATATAATTCAGCCTTCTAGTCAAGTTTTATGCCAGATCCAGCTGGACAGAAACTTTAAAAAGTAAAAGTTTTAGAACGCTTTTGGTAGTGTGTGTGTTTGTGTGTTTTAAAGAAATCAAGATGTTAAAAAGGATTATCTTTTAAAGTTATTGGTTTCTAAATGAGAATTGTACTTGCATCATATATCAAAGTATTCCCTAAGGTGAAGACATCAAATAAAATTTGAGTCAAATTTGCAAGACACACAAAGCTCATTTTGTTTTAGTGAAAACTGGAGTTTAACAATTTCAAATAACTAAACTAAGTGTAAAAGGCTTTCAGAACAAGCATCCATGCCTCAAGCTATTCCTAAGCATGGATTCACAGTATAGGATTGATGGTTCTATCTTGGCACATTTTCCTTGGGGGACTCTAATATGGAAAATTACCCGTTCATTTTCTATAGTCCACAATGGCAACCCTCAGCATGCATCCATAGCTGAGAAAGCACCAAACCAAACACCATAGGAAAATAGCCAACTTAGGAACTAAGGCCTAACGCAGGACCTGGCACACAGGAATTACTGAAAAAATATTTGTGGACTACAGAGATCTCTACTAATATGCCAAGTACATCCAACTTTGGGGAAAAAAAGTAAAAAGAAGAAATATTTCAAATGGTAGAATGGACTTTTGTGTTCAAATAAATTTATTTCACTCCATAAACTGGCTCCACAAGTGATACTACCTCCAAACCTAGTAACATTTTTATGTTCCCCCAAAAGGAATGTGTAAGATAATCACAAAGGCCCAATTTTAAAGAAAATAAATGATTAAAAAGTATATTGGTCTTTGTTTATGCCCCCAATCACACTACTATAAAAGAATATAGTATCACATATAATATATAATTAGCATATTCTTATATCATTATCATTTACTATAACAGAAAAGTTCAAAATACAGAAAAGAGAAATTAAAATATCATCCACAGTAATAATACTAAGCCACTGTTTTAGTGAATTTCCTTGTAGACATTCTTCTTTGCATAGTTTTTATTAGTTTTACATGGTTGTGATCATTCTGTATAAATACTTTTGTATTCTGCTTTTTCAGTAAATAACATTATGAAATGTGCTTGAGATTCTGCTCTCTAGTTAAGAGAATATCAAACTCAAAACCAAACCGTATGTACAAGTTATAGGAATTCTGGCCTCCACTCAAGCTCCAAGTCCCCTTTATTCATTTAACAGGTGCCTATTTTGTGCCACATGCAGTGCTGGGGACTGAAAATACAAAGAAAAGTAAGCCAGAATTTTTGTCCTCAAAGAGTTCTCAACTCAGTAATTACTCTCTGCCTTCACAGAAGTATGAGCTTACCTATGTGAGTTTGAAGTTAATGAAATAAACGCTTGAAATTTATTTTTAACTTCACTCTTTTGAGGAAAATTACTAAATACATAAAGATTTATCTCAGACAACAAGTGAAGTTTTCTGCATTTAATATGGTTGTATTCTTATCTTATAGGTGAAAGAGCTGCAATTCTTTTAATCATTTTATGACAGTATTTTTCAACATTTATTGCAATTAGTTCTCTTTATTGGCCTTGAGATCAGTTGTATTTTAGAAACCAATATAAGAGCTTTCATTTCCTCAAGCTGTAAATTTTCAGATTATTCATCATACCTCCCTCCATCCTACATATTTGCATGGTATATGTGTTTATGTGCTGGTAGATAATCACAGCCACCAACTGAGGTAGAGAAGATGTAAAGCAAACGCTTCAATAAGCACAGGTGCTTATACCCAAATATATCATGAGTCACATGCACCTGGAACTATTTGCATTCTATGCACAAACATTAGCAATTGTATCTGACTTTACTTCTCTGGAAAAATTTAAGCATTCCTAGTTGGTAATTTCCTTTGATATTTTCCAGTTTAAGTCTAGTTGCCTAAATGGTGTCTCAAGGTATGAAATAAGAGATAAAACAAGGTACTGAGTCATAATTTCAAACCTTCTGAGATATACCTCAAGTGGTAATGAGTGGGAGCCATGGAGCACTGAGCAGTGAAGGAGCTGCACACAATAGCCAGAAAACCTGTTCTCTATTCGAGGCTCCACCACTTACGAGTGATATGAGTGTTAACAAGTTGTCATTAACATAAGCCTCAGTTTTCTTATCCATAAAACTGGGATGGTGATATTCTCACCATACTTAAAACATTACTGTATTACTAATGAAAAGCAAATCTTTCTAAAAATGCAAAATGCTACGTGTTAGGACTTAGGTCTAAGGATCATTACTTTATAACCAATTCCTACAAAGTTCGTATAATCAAGTTTTATTTTTTGAAAGGCTCTATTTCCTTACATTTACTTATAGGTTGCCACAAGGTTTTACATAAGAGAGGTGTGTTTTTCAGAGCAACAGCACCTGTAGTTTATTGAAACGGGCGCTGCTGTTACCGAGGAGCTGCTGGTAGAAGGCTCCAGAGACATGTTTAGGAAAGAGAAAAAGAGAACTAGGGCAGCAAAACAAACTGGATGGTAATTTGAGTTCCTCTTATTTTAAGATTGGGTTTAACGTTGGAGACATGCCTACTATTCCATGCCTCTCTACACTGAGAACTTAAAAGGCTGTTAGGATGTAGAGCCTTTAGAGAAGTCCAATAATTTTGATTTCAAAGTCTTTTTAGGGACTTAGGCATGAAGAGTCTCTAATGGTTTTAACCCTTGGAGACTGAAATAGTTTTGTTTGCCAATGTTTTTCCATTAATGAAGATTACCTAGCTAGGTCCCTAATGACATTTGTTTATATCAGACCTCCCAGGAAGCAGCAATCTACACGTAATACTGAAAGTAACACTAGTACAGTAGTTACTGTCACCAAAGATTTAAGAGGCAGTAAAATACTTGGAAAATGTTAGGTTTTGCTACTATCCTACAGGAAACAAACATGCTTTATTAATAACTGTGTGGGAAATTTTTTTCCCCTTAACTGAAAGTCATATGGTGTGGGGGGGATCTCTGTCTTCATGCACTTATTTTGACCAGTAAAAGCACTACCAAAGATTCTAGTGTCAGATTTACAAGGCACCACAGAATCTATATAGTACGGATCCTCCCAACTAAACCAAATAGCAGCTGCCTTCCTAGCCTGAATACCTATCATGAGTATATTAAAAACATGTTCTTTTTAACACCCTGTTTCTTTTTTCTTTTCATGAAACTATCTCTCCCATTAGCACATAACAGTCTTTCTCCTTCTCCCTCTTCCTCCCTCTTTACCACAGCACAATATTCCATTATGCAAATGTATACAAGTTTCTGCAAATATTCCCTAATTGCTGGAGGCTTTATTGTTTCCAATCGTCTGCTACTATGTACAATGCTTCAGTGAATAACTTTGTTTACTTTATTTCAATCTGTCCACAGAATAGATCTAAAAGTGACACTGCCTGGTCAAAGGGCAAAACACATCTGTAATTTTGGTACATACCGCCAGTATATGCAAAGGTAGGAAGTAGGAAACAGAAGGGATGTGTATGTGTATGTAACTGGAAATATTTCATATTGCTAGAGCATAAATTACAAGGGAGAGAATCAACCAATAGGCTGCAAAAAGTAGGCAAACTTCAGATCACTGAGCATCTAGGTCATGTTAAGAAGCTTGAACTTTATCCTATAGACAAAGAAAGTTACTCAAGGGTTTTAAGGCTGGGCTTCACACAGTCAGATTGTTGTTACAGAATTATGGACAATAGACTGAAAGGGCATATAACTGGAAAAAGCAGGGATAGTTAGGAAACTGGTACAGTAATCCAGATGAAGGACTGAACTAGAGCCGGGGTTAAGGAGAGAATGTACTGAGAAATCTTAAGAGGCAAAGTGAGCAGGATGTAGACAGTAAATATGGGGGTGGAGGTGAATAGAGGGATGATTTCAAGGTATGATCAAACCACTACCAGCAAAGCACCGGATTCAAGCTATTTCTCTAGCAGCAACAATACGTTTACACAGATTCAGTCATGCTCTTACCTGGTCTTAGCATTTGTGAGGCCAGGGATAGCAGTATAGGGCCCAGCAAACAGACAGGCAGAACTGGTGAGCTTCTCCTTGAGCATCATGCTCTAATCAACTAAGTAAAGCAACCACAGGCGACCCCAACAGGCCAACATGACATTTCATAGCTCTATCTCTGATGCACCCTCTCATAATAACTCCTCTATTCCTAAGCCTCTTGACCCCATTTTCCTCTTTGCCCATGAAGTCAGTGACCAAGACAACTGCTGACAACATAAATAACTGCCAGTGCAGGGAACAGTATGTGGTTGAGGGGCAGCTGCATGAATAGCTGTTTTTCCAAAACTTAACCCAAAGCCAAGCTTTACTATAAACCCAATATTACAATATTAGCAATGCATTTTTGGCAGCCTGCAGTCCTGCCACCAAACAAAGTTAATCGCTGGAGATGAGAAGATATGGATGAGAGTCCCCTCTGAACCCTTCCCATTCCCCTGATTTATGCAAATGTAATGGTCCTATGGGGATGGAGCAGGAGGGTGTTATGTGTAATCCATACTAAACCTGGCACTTGTCTTTATTCTCAGAGTTTCTAAAAACCAAACTGAAGGGGAACTGAAAAGTAAACTATCAGATGAAATCAAGTCCACTGTTTATCAAGTCCATGAATGAAATACATACACATACAGACACACACACACACACACACACACAGTAACACCAATGCTTACCTTTCTTTTATCTTCATCTGTTGATTCAAATTTGAAAGTAGCCCTATGCTGAAGAGGGAAAAAAGGGAAACAGTGTCATTTTAAATACACAGATTTTTGATTTTGCTATGTTTAAAAATACCTAATGTCTATAAAAAAGTTGTCTTCCCATATCATGTCTCAAAGTTCTTATTAAAGTAAGAGAGGCATGTAAGCAAATAATTGTAAAGCAGTACAAAAGACTAAAGCAAAAATATATACAGAAGAGACATAGTACTGAGCCACTAACTACCGAGGGAAATCTGGAATTCTTTGCATATAGTACAGAACATTTGAGCTGGACCTTGAGGGATGAATAGGAGTTTGCCAGGCAAATGGAAAGCATTCTAGGGATGGAAACAAAGGCTCATCTGTGAAGTGGTATGATGTATTTGTAAAATAAGCAGCTCTGTCAGAGAGAAACACAGGACACGTTAGGGGATGAGAGGAGTGGAGAAAGATGAGAATGGGAAAGTAGACTGGACAGAGATTTGGAAGGATCTTCCAATGTTGCTGAGGAGTTTGTACTTTCTTTATCATATGCAATAAGAAATCACCAGAGAATTGTAGATAGGGAAGAAATTGATAGACTGGCATTTCATAAAAGTAATTCTGTAAGAATGAGGGTTTAAATCATGCCTCCACCACTTATTAGTTAAGCAAGTAACAAATTATAACTGTATTTCCCATGTGAAAAGAGGGGGTACCTAGTTCACAAAGCTGCCATGAGGGTTAAAACAGCTACGACATATAATGTACCATCTCAGTGCCTGGAAGATAGTAAACACTCAGTAACTATTAGGATGATAATAATGATGATGCCAATGATATTGAGGAAAAATATTTGAAAGAAAAGAATGTCATGACTCTCCTAAAATGACTGGCAACACTATATTTTCTACTCTGTAGCTGAAATAGAGAATGGAGTAAGTTGAGCTGTCCACTGCCAGAGAGTGATGGTACCCAAAAAATAGAGCATAAAGTTCCTCAATCTCTTCTCAAGTTTTATTCAAGAGAACCAAGTGCTCTTACGGATCCTAAGTTTTCATTTAAAAAAATCTTTACTGAACATCTCTCTGCCTTTCCTTTGTATTTCTCATTGGCAACATGGCAACCCACCAGGAGTTAAACACGGTAAGTACTAAAGATATCATCATTACAGGTGGCTCTGCATTGACAGCTTCGCAGAAGCAGCAATTTCTGAAATTAAATGAGATGGAGAAACGTTGACAGAGAACCAGTTCTGAAAGTAAGAAATGGTCAGAGGGAAGACTTAGAGGTAATGGAGAAGGGCCATTTGAGGAAACCTAAGAGAAGCTGCCTCACATACCGTTTGCAAAACAATTAAAATGGATGTCAGGTGGTAAGGCCTTGGATTTAAAAATTTATACCTGAATTGGCATATAGGTGACAGGCAACCAGGGGAAGACTCTGAAGGAGGTGTGAACTCATTCTGGAAGAATATTTTGGGTGGTAGTTTACAGGCCAGATCAAAGAAGAGCAAGACTGAGGACATAAAGCCCTCTGAGAAATGGGCATCAATAATCCAGGAGTGATATTGCCGGAGGCAGTACAAATTGACACCAACTTCAAAAATGAAAGTGATTTGGCAGCACCTAATAGAAACCATAAAAATATTCACAGCCTTTAACCCAGAACTTTTACTGCTAGAAATTTATCCTAATGAGATCATCCAGGGGAGAGAAAAATTATATATGTAATCATATTTACTGCAGTGCTATCGAGTATTATGGAAGAAAAAAAAGAGACAACCTGAATATCCAACAACAGGAGACTGATGAAATAAATCACTGTGCATTCATCTGAGAGAGTATTATACTGCCATTTTTTTAAAAATATGGCTAGGGCTTCCCTGGTGGCGCAGTGGTTGAGAGTCCGCCTGCCAATGCAGGGGACACGGGTTCGTGCCCTGGTCTGGGAAGATCCCACATGCCGCGGAGCGGCTGGGCCCGTGAGCCATGGCCGCTGAGCCTGCGTGTCCGGAGCCTGTGCTCCGCAACGGGAGAAGCCACAACAGTGAGAGGCCCACATACCGCAAAAAAAAAAAAAAAAGGGTTAAAAAGTTCTATAACAACATGAAAAATTATTTATGATGGCAGTAAGTGGAAAAATAGTAAAACATCAAACTGTATGTCTATGATGACAGTACCTACATAAATGTATGGATGATTTCAAACAAAGGCTTGAGTGTTAAATGCAAAAATAAAAACAACTATATAGGGTTGGTGGAATTGCTGGTGATTCCTTTGACAAAACTCATTGTTGGTATATTATTTTTATAATTAAAAGAAAAATTTTATATAAAAGGTAAATAGACTAATGAATGAGCAAGGAAAGAAAGAAAAGAAGAAAAGGAAAGAAGAAACAACAAAGACTATAACTTAGGAATCTACAGACCCAAGATTTAGTAAAAACTAACATTGAATAAAAGATCAAGAATTATTAGATTGTATGGTTATAAACTGAAGCTTAGTAAAGGTTCACTACAAATGAAAACACATAATTGCACTTAGAAACAAGAAACTTAATTTTTGCCATTATATGTGAAATATTAATTCCACACATTATCTGGAATAAATGTACCTAGTTGCCAATGTAATAGTTTTCCTAAACTTTTTTTTTTTTTTTTGCATTTATGGTAAGGGAACAGAAAAAGAAATCGTCTTTTGGAAAGCCCCTTGTTAAGTTATAAAAATATCTTTTAAAAGGTTTCTACATAAAATTATATCTCTCAAGGTGATAATTTAGAATAGTATCAAGGACTAATTTTTATTTTTCTTTTTAAATGCAAGGCTGATCCTGTTACAAAACCGCAACATTTAAAAAAAAAAAAGAAATAAAGGAAGGAAGGAAAGCAAGCTTTCAAAAGCCCTAACTAACATGAGGGCTTAATTTAATTAGCAAATATACTGGTATTGTGAGGCAGTACAAATTGAATTTAGAATATGCCAATCCATTCAGAAGCAACCTCAAAGTGTAAAACAAAAAGTCCTCTTACATAGTCCAGGATATTTATATATCCTATTCAAATGTGGAGGCTGTACTTCTAGAACTGTCCCAATATTAGGTCCCTATCAATCAGGTTCTTCTAGCACATAAATAAAGACCTCACTGCTATCAGTGTTGTTTTCCTCTCTTATGAGGACTACTCTCAGAGACCTACATGTCTGTCTGTATCTTAAATAACTTTTACCTTTCATTTGGCCATAAACTTGCCACACTTCCATAATGGAATCCTACTGGAGCTTGCTAAGGGGTAATCATATGTCTAGGTGGCCTCTATGGCCACCAAGCCACCTCTCTGGTTATCAACATTGATGATGATGCTAGGCCTCAGTTTCTTCTCCTATTAATTGAGAGTGTTGGACCCAATTATCTTTGAGGTTCCTTCTTGTCTAAATACCCTGGATTCAAGGAACTAAGATACTACTATGCACCCTCAAGGCTCTTGATCACTGTTTGTTGTTGATAATCATAATGATGCCAACCAATCTCTCTACTAAATCTGTTAGCAGAACAAGCCCTAGGAGAGGAGAAGAAGCTTGGACAGCCTAGACTAGAGCAATATGTACTTCCCACATTAATAGCTCATTCTATTACTGGAGTGGGGTGACTGGGACACAACAGTAGCCAAAGGAAATAGTCCTGAAAACCCTTTCTCTTCTGTGCTCAATAACACAGAATAGACAGTGGAAAGCCAACAGGGCCTTGCAAAAAGAGCCCTGGATATCGAATCGAAGACTAGGTCTGCCACTTCTAGCTATGTGCCCTAAGGCCTGTAGACAGTTACTTTGTCTTTCTGAACCTCAATTTCCTAGTCCCGAAAAAAAGGGAGAATACTTCAGTCACCCTCATAAGTTTTAATATGTGATGACATGTGAAAGCACGTAGGATAATACATAGTACATAGCAGGCACTCAATAAATGCTATTAGATGAATTGAAAGTGAAAAAGGACAACCACTCTTCCTATTTTTAAAAAATACTTTCCTATGCTGAGTCAACTTGCATTATGCCCTTGAGAAACAGACAAGTTTCATTTTTTTCTAGGATAGATAGATCTTCCTTCTCCCCAAGAAAAGAAGGGTCAGTAAATGAAGGAAGAAATCTTGAAAATTAGAATCTCCTTAACACAGTAGAAATTAGATGTTACCTGGAGCCAGACGGGTAAATGTTACTTTAAACACGGTACAAGGTATTTTGCTAACCATTAAAAAGTGCACGGGTCAAGGAAAAAGAGAAAGAATGGAGTATATTCTCTAATTTTTTTTTTTTATCAGGCTATGTCAACTCCATGCCACATGCTTAATTCCTGACTTTTTTTGTTCAAAACTAACAGTTATGGGTTTTTCTTCAGTGCCAGGCACTGTTCTAAATGATTTACACATATAAGTGATTTAATCCTGACAACAAACCTATGATGTGGGTACTATTATTATCTCTGTTTGGCAGATGGGGAAACTGAGACACAGCAAAGTTAAGTACCTTGCTCTATGCCACGCGGATGGTAAGCCGGGGATCAGAGTTCAGGCAGTCTGGCTCCAGAACCCGTGCTCTTGCCGCAAGACCTCTTGAGCACCTTGACCATTAGTGAATGCCTCCTACATGCATTATGCACAGCGTTCAGCATTATACTTCACTTAATTCAGGTCTCATAATAACTTAGGTGATAGAACCCTATGTTACAGATAAGGAAACTGGGACTCAGCCTTAAAATAACTTGTCCATAGTCATGACACTAATAAATGGCAGATCTGAACCAAGATTTATCTGACTCCAAATTCCACCTTCTTTCCATTATACTTGCTGCCTTCTTTTGAGAACGACGAACCAATCATTCTCTCTCTACATCATTCATTTCCCTTCTTGGTTAGACTCCTCAATGCCCCATAATCACTTCACTCTAAACATTTCCCAAATCCATGCTTCCAGATAAGGAAAATGAGGCACATGGTAATAACCAGGTGCTTTTTCAGGGTTTCAGACTCCATTTCCCATAGAGCAGGGCAATTTAATTCCACCTCCCCATTCTTACTGCCAGACCACTGCAATCATGCTTCCCCTTCTTCTTCATCTGCCTCTAGTGTCTCCTGCCTTGAGGGGCAAAGCCCCACTGCCAACATAAAACTCAGCTATTTTCTTTGTACTCTGGACCTACTATAATCAGCATTAAACATGAGAGCTCTTCTCTTAAGGAGCTGGCCGCGCCGGTCCACGTCAAGACACAGCATTCTCAAGCGTGGTCCCCAAAATACCACCCCAGATGATACACACTGGGCATTACAACTTTAAAGCCATTCCCAATGTGAAAGGAGAGCTGGGGATGTCCAGAACTTAAGCTCTGACAGCACTTGGCCAGGAATGGTAAATGGAAACCAACCTGGAGGGAGATCAAGGAGAGGAAGAGATAAACTGGAGGAAGCAAATCTGGACTTCTAATTAGTTTAGCCATGAAGGGAAGGAGAAAATATTGAATGAGGAGATAAGATCCAGTTCGAGGTTTTTTCCTCCTCCCTTCTGCATAGAAGAAAGTTCCTATTTATTGCTGGATACCTGGGATATAATAAGTGGTAAATAAACACTACTTGATTCAACACAATGGCCAAGTTTTCTGTTGTATTTCCTTCTTTTGAAAATCAGTTTGTAGCTGCCTCAAATCTTTTTTGGAAGGCAATTATAAATCAAGTTGAATGAATATACAGTCGGGCCTCCATATCTGCAGGTTTCACAACCGTGAATTCAACCAACCATGGATCAAAAATATTTCGAGAAAAAATTGGAGAAAGTTCCAAAAAGCAAAACTTGAATTAACTGGCAACTAGCTACAAAGCATTTGCATTGTATTTACAACTATTTACATAGCATTTACATTGTATTATTAGTAATCTAGAGATGATTTAAACTATAAGGGAGGATGTGGGTAGGTTATATGCAAATATTATGCCATTTTATATAAGGGACTTAAGCATCCATGGATTTTGGTATCCATGGGGGAGGTATAGGATCCTGGAACCAATCCCCTGCAGATACCAAGGGATGACTGTAATCTCCACAATATGTACATCTGTGCATTAAATTAATTTCTCCTAAATTACGCAGATAGGCAACAGTAAAGCGTATCAGAAAGTGAGGAAGCTAAGATATGAATAGAACTGAATCCATGCATCCTCCCAAAGAAAGCAGCATGGTACTGTAAAAGAGCAGTCAGAAAACCCAGATTCAAATCTCAGCCCCATCTCTCAATGACTGTGTGGACCTGAGGTGACATCATCCTAAATTTTATCGTTTGTGAAATGGGAATACCACCACTTTCCTCATAGGATTGTTGGGAAGATTAAATGGGAGTGAAGGTGCCTTATTTTTTTTATCTTCTCCACATGGAGCAGAAATGGCATACTGGCAGCTCAACAATACAAAGTGTATGGAAGTGCAGTGGTGGGCACACAGCAAACACAGAAACACAGAAAGGGAAATTATGAATGGAGGCAAATGAAAGGAAGAAAGATGTTATATCTAGGGTGTGACATGGTGTTGGGTGTGTTTTCACAGGAGTCAGTTATTTCTATAAAGTGGTCTTCTAAATGGAAGAATAAAGGTGTGGTATGTTACCTTCAAGAGTGAGCATATAAAACTCCTGGAAGGTAAAGTAATGGAGAGCTAACGGGTCTTGCTTGAAGAGACATTCAGAGAAGTGACTGGGATATACAAGATACCTTTTTCATGCAGAGTTGTAAAGTGGAAAGAATAATACCTAGGTTGGAATCCCAGCTCAGAAGTATGACCTTGGGCAAGTTACTTAACCGATCTAGAATCTCAATTGCAAAATACAGATAAAACCTCACAGGATTGCTGTCAAGATTAAAGGAGATAATGGATGGGAAAGCTGTTAATGTGATACAAACAACAGGTATTATTAGGAGTTAGTCTGCCCCCAGTTACAACATAGTATGTCCATGACCTTGGCGTGATTTCAGTTCCTAGTGCCTCGGTTTTCTCATCTATAAAATGGGGAGGATGATGCTATCTACCCTGTAAACTCTCTGAGAATCAAATTGGACCATATATATGAGACATCACGCATTGAAAACTGTACAGTCCTGTACGTATATAAGGAACTGCCATCGTGGCCGATACGTTTTATGCATGTCAAGGCCCGTGTTTATACACAGAAACACGTTATTTTTAAGCTATGCAGGTGAGGAGGACTCGCGTGCATTTATGCATCCATGAGAGGGGCACAGACGCACGCTCACGGATTCCGGGGGTGTGACTTGCACGCTTGGGAAGAGGACCGTGGGACACACTGCTGGGCCGGAATCAGAGGGGTGGGCGCGAGGGTGGGGGCAGGGGGTGGGGATACAGGATGCACGGATGGAAAAGGCTGGGGGCACAAACACGCATGCCCAAGCCGGAAACGTTTTCAGGGGAGAGCAATGCGCATCCCCGGAATGAGGGGGGTTGGGAGGGATGCGATGTGCAAGCCCGGGGGGCGGCCCGAGGGTGCTATACCGCACGCCCGGGGCCAGGGCTCTTTACCTTATCGCTGTAATCCCTCAGGACCCGCTCGATAGCCCCCGCCTCGCCGGCCCGGACGATGTAGAGGGCGCGCTCCTCATCCATGGCCGCAGGTGCGGGGGAGCCGCGGCCGCTCTGCGCGCCCAAGCCGCTGCCTCCAGGTAAACGCCTCGCGCCCCCACTCGCTCGCTCGCTTCTTCCCAGCTTCCTTCCTTCCCTCCTTCCCTCCCTCCCTCTGCCTCCAACCCGCCAGCCTCCGCCCGGGCAGGCCCGACGTCACCGCCCCTCAACTTTCACCCCGCGACGTCACTGGTCCCCCAGCAACCGGCGCCCCGCGGCCACCCCCGACAAGGCCCAGGACTCGGTAGAGGCCTGGCGAACGGCCTGAGGGGGCAGTCAGGCCCGAGGCCCTGCTAGCTCTCCTGCCTCTCCCTCCCTCGGAGAAGAGTCCAGCCTTTTAAATGTGCTTTCACAGACAGAACTGTTCTCTCCTGACCCTCTTCTATGAATCATTCTCCTCAGCTGACGAGAGCGACCCGGTTCTTCCCCGCCCCTCTAAGAGCCAGCAGCTAAATGGACTACAATTCCCTGCGTGCAATGGGGTCATTCCACTCTTCCATCTAACTTACCGGAGTGCCGAATGGCATGTCGGGATTAGTAGTCATCCAGCGGGAAAGACTTCCCTCCAAAGGCATGCTGGGAAGTGTGGTCCTGCGAAGGCCGGAAACTGGAGTCCGGCGGCCGCCTGAGGCCAGCGGCCCAGAGACCGTTAGGGGGAGGGCCTAAGCGTCGGCTCTGCCTCCTTTTTGTTCCTTATGGAGCTGACCGTCCTGCTCGAGCCTTTGCTGGTTGGACTGGTTGACAGCCGCGGAGACTGGCACCCCTTGGTGGGAACTGTCATGCACCGGTTTAATTCCCTCTTTTCTCGTTCAGCGGTTTCGGTCTCTTTGAAATTCTTTCCTTCCTTCCTTGTTTGCGGTCATGCTATGTATTCAGCTACAATAATGTGGGAAATTGCAGGCAGTTCTCGGATAAAAAGGGGACTCGGCGGTTTTTTGCCTTAATAATAATAGCCGCCTTGTATCGCGTGCCGCCGGGACTGCAGACTCGGAGTTAGGTGATTTCTCACGACACTTGAGATTTTTGTGGAACCGTAGGAACCCGAATAGATTAAGTAATTTGTCCTAAGTCACATAGCCAGTAAATGGGGAATTCGAGATTTGTATCAGCGTCTTTCCCCAAAGGCAGCTGCTCTACAACCGCCGGTAAATGTGATAATACGGATATACTAGTAATGATAGTGATGGTGATGATGATGGAGGCTCACATTTGCTCAGTGTTCGCTACATGCAGACATTCTGTTAAATACTTTACCTGTGTTATCTCAGTCAATTTCTCACAAATTAAGTCAACAAATATTTGAGCATCTATGCTGTGCCAGGCACTGTTCAATACCGTTCAAAACTGTTCAGTATGTTTACAGTGGACTCAAAATGAAGCCCCTGCTGTTGTGGAGCTTCCATTTTAGTGCTTAACCCTATGAGGGAGGTACTATTCTCATTTTAATATGAGGAAACTGAGTATTGGAGAGGTTAATAGATTGATTTACCGTTGGAAACTGAATTTGAACTTGGAACCTATCTATGCTCTTTCTGCTCTCCCAAGCTAGTTGCTAGAGAGTGGATGAATTCTCCAAGTAACTTTCAGTTTTCCATTCCCAGCAGCCTTTACCAGAATCATCTTTCATGCCAGCCCTGCTTGCCTCTCCCTCTTGAGCTGTGCTAAAGAGGAATTAGAGGGTTTTTTTTTTCTATGTGTCAGACATTGTGCTAAGCTCTGAGAACTTAGAAATAAAAAGTATGCAATCTGAGCTCATGGAGCTTTTGGTCTTTCTGTGGATTAGACTTTTCACACAGCAAACCTTTATTGTCCATAATAAAGTCAGAAAGATTTTAATCTATCTCTTTACAAAGCACGTTCATGGAAAGGTCACGGTATAGTAAGCTGTATTCCTTAGGTAATAGTAATATCTTCCAGTTATTTTTTTAATCATTTAAAAAACATTTTAATATACACCGTCTCAGTGGATCATTGAGGAAGGTATTGTTCCCATTTACATATAGGAAATCAGGCTCAGATTAGTTAGATTACACCAACTGGGACTCACACTGAGAGCTGTAACGTAAAATATTCGGGTGCTTACTCTCTGTCCAGTACTGTACTACGTGCTTTTTGGGTAACCATATATTTATTTTTGGAGCAAGGGCTCCTGCGCAGGATACTAACAAGCATAAAGTATCTGAGTAGAGGTTTCTTTTAAAGAGGGTCTTATACACATGTGTTTGAAATGCCTGTTTACCAGAAATAGGCTATGTTTTTAGGCTCCAACCCTGTACTTCCAAAAAGAGATTTAAAAAATGTGAAACCACATGAATTAATGGGAAATTGTACTTTAGTAAATCTTAATTAAGCACCAATATTCTGATTTTATAAATCAAAAGGATCTTTGACTCTAATTCAAGTCATCCTTTGACCACTGACGAGACTCTGGTCCCAGAAAAATTAAATGACTTGTCCAAAATCAATAGTTAAAAGCAGACTCCGGGACTAGAGCCTAGACTAGCTAAATCCTGGGTCACTACATCACTTTACCTCCCTGAATATTTAGTTATGTGATACTTCCAGTGACTAGAGTCTCTGGTCCAGCGGTAACTCCAGTTCCTGTTGATTCTTGCATGGCTTGGTGCCAAGGAATTAGGATTTAGAGCCTGGGTAATCAAAGCAACAAATATTTATTCACAAGTCACTGCTCTGAGATGTAGCAATATAATTCTGTACATATATATGAATAGTGCTTTACTGTTCTCAGAATATCTCCACGTAGATCATCTGATTTAATCCTTGTAATAGCTGAAAAATGCAAGGTCAGTAGGACAGGCACTATCTTCCTTTTTATAAAGAAAAGGGAAGTTCAGTGTGTTGATTAGCTTGCTCATAAGCAATAAGTGTGCTAGTAAGTGGTATAGTTAAGGGCTAGAAACACTGGGCTCTGATAGCATAAAATGTTATGAACTTATAGGTCAGGGCCAATGAAAAAACCCTGCAAATAGTTACTAGTCATTTATTTTCGACTTTGATATATCCTGCGGTGGCATTTCCTCTGCCGTGACAATGGACTAGTTGGAATGTGCCAAATTGAGGGTCTTAAAGGAGCACCTGGTGCTAACAGCTTTTAGAATCCAAATCTTTCACATGTAATACTTTTTATACATTTTCTTTAGAAGAAAGCAGAAATTAAAAAACTAAACAGCTTGGTCTAGTCGCTACAGCTCCAGAACTGGAGTTCAGAGAATTTTGCTAATTCAAGATACAAACTGTCACTCAACAACCACTGTGCCACTATGTGAGGCTACTCTCTCAATCTCTCTTAAGCCATGGTGTCCTCAGCTGTAAAATAAAGGGACTGATCCAGAAAGAATCTTGGTTGTCTCTCAGTTCTAAAATTTTGTGATTCTAAGGACAACAACAAAACCACATTTGAACACGCTCATTCTTTAGACAAATCTGTTAATGAGAGTGAGGTTGTACCTATCAATGTGTGCAAATCAAAATATCAATATGATACATGCAAATCATTGCTTGGGCATACCTGTAAGGATTCTGATTCAGTTGATCTGTGGTGAGGCCTGGGTATTGGTAGTTTTAAAAGCTTCCCGGTGGATTCAAATGAACAGCCAGGGTTGAGAACCACTGGACTAATATTCTGGTAGAATATCCATCACTAAACTAATTTTTTGCTAGACTACCAAACTTAGGTGCACGTGACTCACTAATTAGTCTTTGAGAAATCAGAAAAATATAGCAAGGTAAAAGTTATCTTAATTTCATTTTCTATCAAGAATGAAGTCTCCCTTTTGTAGCAAAGTTAATTAACATGATTTGTACCTTTAACAAATATTTGGTGCTCATTGGAGCACAGCATTGTCTTAGGTACCATAAAAAAGAAAAACAGTAAAATCAATTGATCCTGTTCTTTGGGGATACAAAAAACATCCAGGCAATCAGCAAATCGTTTCTACTGATAAGTAGGAACAAATTAAATGTAAATATTATGCAAATCAAAGTAAGATAAACATTGATGGAAGAAGAGTAATCAGAGAAGCCTTCTTGGAGGAGGAGAACTATATAGAGAATAGTACAGAGAGCTTCGAGGGTTAGCAGATAGGGAGAAATGCCAGGAGAGAAGTTCAGGAGGCCAAAACTAATGAAACACTTGTTGAGAAATAATAATCAACTTGGTTGAATTTGAAAGCCAGCAAGGGAGATTTCCTTAGAGGTCAGTTGGTCAGCAGGATAAGGAAAAATTAAATCTGAGAGACATTTTATTATCACTTTTGACTCTATAACCAGCCAATCCAACTTGAGCTTACAACGTGTTACATTCCTAAAAACTATCTCACAATACCATACGACACAAATAGAACTGGGAGACAGAAAAGGGTCTGTTGCCGACTGGTGTCAAACCCTTGTGCACGTTATTTTAATTTCTCAGGATCTTATTTATAAAATTAGAGTTTAATTAGATGACTTAAGAGCTTTTTTTTTTTAACTCTTAGAAATTTATGACTACTTGATCCAGGCTTTCAGCACCTTTATGAGGTTCCTCCACAGTATTCCCAGTATTCTAATTGCTAAAATTGAGCCCATGCTGTTAGTCCTTGGCAAATTACCTATAGTTGTTCAATACTGATTGACTATCCACAGTGGGGCTCTCAAATTAAGCACACAAAATGGGCGCTGCCCTTTAGGAGTTTTTATTTATCCAAGAGCTGGAATGTGGGTCAGACCTATTTGCATCTCGCTGGCTTGGAATCCCATCCAAACACCTCTTGGGAAAACCCAGCGCTTTGGGTGGCAATGCTGTAATGTGGCGAAAGAAGTTGGACTGGGAATTGGAAAACCTGGTTTTTAGTCCAAACTCACTGTGTGAGTCTCAGAAGCCCATCATTTGTCAAATTCCTTAAAACCCTTCTGGCAACCAGTTTTTTGTATCTCAGAGGAAGACTTGAAAGCCAAAGGACTCTACTTGCCCTCTTTGAGCATTGATTTTCTCAACTGTGATGAACATAATAATATCTACTTTGCAGGATGTCTTTAGGGTTAAAGGAGATGGCTGTCAGAGTGGCCAGCACAGCAGACCTGGCATGGAATAGCCACTCAAATGTTAGCTGAACTGGAATACAAAATGCAACCTCCCTCACAATGATGTTGGAAGATGTGGGGACAAAGGTCATGTTATTCCTATCGATGCACAAATGCTTGAGTTTTGTTGTTGCTGATGTTGTTTTTAAGAACACAAAAGTAATTCCAACACACTGCTTTGATCTTTAAACCTTGTAGTTAATGTCTTTAACACTGACACGCTTTGACATAAGACAGTTTGGGGATAGTGACTGTCATATATGTGTGTAGGTAAGTAAGGAGCCTAAAAC